TATATGAAATCTATACCTAGATCAAGAAGCTGTTAAACAAACAGAACAAGGGAACACTGCATAGTTTAAAATCAAGAAAGGTGTGCATCAGAACTATATCTTTTCTCCATATCTGTTCAATCTGTATGCTGAGCAAATCGTTCAAGAAGCTGATTTACGAAGAAGAATGTGGCATCAGGATTGGAGGAAGACTCATCAACAACCTGCATTAAGCAGACAGCACAACCTTGGTTGCTGAAAATGAAGAGAACTTAAAACACTTCCTGCAGAAAATCAATATGGATTACATTTCAACATCAAGAAGACAATAATTATCTGTGAGCCAAAAGACAGCATCATGATAGATGGAGAAAAGATTGAAATTGTCAACTATTTAGTCTTAACTTGGGTCCGCAATCAACAACTTTGAAGTCAGGAGGTCAGGAGACATACAGTATTGGGAAAGTCTGCTGTCAGTGACCTCTCCAAAGTCCTGAAGAACAATCAAGTCAGTTTACAGACTAAATGTGCCTGATTCAAGCCATGGTGTTTCCAATAACGTGCTGTGCATCTGAGAGCTGGACAGTGTGTAAGAAGGAAGACAAATAAATGCCTTTGAATTGTGTTGGAAAGAGTGCTGCATATATCATGGACTACCAAAAGAACAAACATGTCTTGGAGAAAAGGTAGCCTGCATGCTCATTAGAGGCAAGAATGGTAAAGCCTTGTCTCAAATACTTCGGGCGTGTTGTTAGGAAAGGTTATTCCTTGGAAACGTTATGCTTAGAAAGGTGGAGGGTCAGTAAAAGAGAGAAGGATCTTCAATGAAATGGATTGATACAGTAAGTGCAGCAATGGACTCCATTGTGTCAGGGCTGATGAGGATGGCGCAGGATAAGACAGGGTTCAGCTCTGTTTTTCCTAGAGTCACTATGAGTCATCATTGACTCAACAGCACCTACCAACAACAACATAAACCTTTTCACTTATTTTGTATAGTACAATAAAAGAGTGCTGTTGAAGTATATCTGAATGCTAGTGAGAATGATCCAAGAGGAGGGAGATTGAGGATTTGCTGTTGTTGTTAGGTGCTGTCGAGTCGAGTACAACTTGTAGTGACCCTAGAACAAAAGATCTGAACCCAGTCCTGTCCTTCACCATCCTTGCACTTCCTGACACACAAGAGCCCATTGCAGCAGTCACCGTGTCAATCTACCTGGTTGAGGGTCTTCTCCTTCGCCAACCCTCCACCCTTGCCAACATCATGTCTCCCTCAAAGGAATAGCACCTACTAGCAACATGTCAAAAGTATGCGAGATGAAGCCTCATTATTCTTACCTCCAAAGAGCACTGCAGCTGACCCATCTCCAAGACATACCTCTTTGTTCTCTTGGTCATCCATGGGATATTTAGTGCTCTTCTCCAACACCACAGCTCAAAGGCGTCAACTTTTTTTTCTGTCATCCTTACTCATTATCCAGCTCTCAGATGCATAGCTAGGAATCAGAAAGACCATGGCTTGAATCAGACACACCTTAGTCCTCAAACTGACGTCACTATTTCTCAATAATTAGAAAGGCCCCTAACTGCAGGTTTTCCCAGTGCAATGAGTCTCCTTATTTCCTGACAGCTCATACCAAGGGTGTTAATTGTGGATCTGGGCAAGTTGAAGTTGTTGACAGTTTCAATCTCCTCTCCATTCATCATGACACTACCTATTGGTCCAGTGGTAAGAATATTTTCTTGCTACTGAGACACAATCCATGCTGAAGGCTATGTTCCTTGATCTTCTACAACAAGTGCTTCAAGTCCTCCTCACTTTCAACAAGTAAGGTTGTGTCATCTGCATAATGTAGGTTATTGATCAGTCTCCCTCCAATCTTGATGACACATTCCTCTCCATAGAGTCTAGCCTCTCAGATAATTTGCTCAGCATATAGATTGAACAGGTATGGAGAGAGAATACATGCCTGACGCACTCCCTTCCCAATTCCAGGTCATGCAGTGCTCCCCTGCTCTGTTTGCACAACAGCCTCCTGGTCCAGGTATAGGTTCCTCATGAGCACAATCAAGTGCTCTGAGATTCCCATTCTTCTTAATGTCAGCCACAACTTGTCATGATCCACATAGTCAAACACCTTTGCATAGTCAATAAAGCACAAATAGACATTCTTTTAGTATTACTTACCTTCAGCCAGGATCCATCTGACATCAGCAATGATATCTCTGAACTTGTTGTGCATTTCTGAAGCTGAAAGAACTGAAAAATGTATGCCTCATGTCACAATATTGAAAGATGCTATGGGTACTACATTGAATGATCCAGAAAGCATCAAAAGAAGATGGAAGGAATATGCAGAGTCACTGTACCAGAAAGAACTGATTGACACTGAAAAATTTCAGGAAGTACCATATGAACAGGAGCCAATGGTAATGAACGAGGAAGTGGAAGCTGCATTGATGGCATTGGCAAAAAATAAGGCCCCAGGAATCAATGGGATACCAACTGACTTTTTCCCATTAACAGATGCAGACTTGGAAACACTTAACAGTCTATTCCAGGAAATTTGGAGGATGGCTGTCTGAGTAATGGATTGGAAGAGGTCCATATGTGTTTCCATTCCCAATAAGGGTGATCCAAACAAACTGAATGTGGAACTTATTGAACATCATTGATATCACATGCAAAACAAAATATTGCTAAAGATCATTCAAAAATGGCTGGAACAGTACATAGATAAGGAACTTCCAGAAGTTTAAGCAGGATTTAGAGATTGAGGATACAGAATATAAAAAGAATTGTTTTGGAAATTAATTTATTGAGTAGGCAAAGAGAGATGGGCTCTCAGAAACTGTCAAAGGGCTCGCAGGTGAAGGAGTGGGATTGGGATCTTGCTCCCAAAGGAGGGGAAAGATGCCAGAGTATGTGAGTGCAGACACAAGTACAGTGCTAAACACTGCACTGGGAAGATTGAGATTCACCAATTTCTCTCTGGTGTATTTGACAAAGTTGTCAGCTGAATGCGAGAATGAAGTAATGGATAATAAAAGAAACTGTTGTTAAATCAACAGTTTAACAGACTGAAATCCTGGTTGATGTTAGTGGCTTGTTGGAATAAAGGTTAGAATATGTGAGCTTGAAGGGGGAAGTTATGATGCTGAAGACACAGGGCTTGAATGTTTCTGAGATGATGCAGAAGTTGAATGAAATCAGTCTCGGGTACAGACTCTCAATCTTTAGTGTACATTGGAATCATTTGCCCACCGCCAGTCCCCATTGCTTCGATTCCAATTCATCGTGGCCTGGTGTGTCATAGTAGAACTGTGCTCCATAGGGTTTTCAGTGGCTGATTTTTGTTAATTATTTGACTGAGGTGCCTCTGGGAGGACTCAAAACTCAGCCATTCAGTTAGCAGCCAAGCATGTCAACCACTTCACCCTTCAAATCCTGAGGGGTGGATTAGCACCCAAGAATTTGCATTTCTTCTTAGCTCCCAGATACTGCAGCAGCACATCCAGAGGCCATAGGGAAGGGGAGGTCAACGTGAGGGGGAAGAAAAACTCTGGAGATAAGGAGACCAAGGACTTTTGTATGTGGAATGGATCCTCTGTGCACTTAAATGGTGAAGTTACTAAGCTGATGCCACTTGGGAGTGATGACAAGGAAGGGGATGTATGTGTTCATGTCCATGGTCTCAGGGGCTGCCATGCCTAAGGGAGGAGAAGACCATTGGAAGAAACAAAGAGGAGTTCTGGAAAAGACTAATCTCTAACCCCTGATGGATGTGGCAGGGAAATCACCAGCCCCTGAAAGAATGACAGGAAGGCAGGCCCTGTTCCAGGAAGACCTTGAGCTTTAAAGGAGTAAGGGCCATGTGGGGTCAGGGAGTGATGAGAGAAGGGGTCAGGCCTGGAGGTGGACAAAACAATTCAAGGGTGGACACCCTGCCTGGCTGGGCACTGTGGGCTCCAAGTGGCATTTCAGACTCTCTGAAAATGCCCCAACATTCAGAAAAATTAGTACTCCGGTTCTTCTCATTTCTTGGAAATGCCATTTTTATGTGGCATGAATATGTAATTTGATTTGAAAACAGCATATGAGTATTTCATAAAGAGGTAAGGCTCTTCAAAGATACTTTAGATCGTGTTTCAGATATTTGTCCTTGTTAATATTGTGGAGGGAAAGTAGGAAAAATCTTAGCTTTGGGTATGAATCTTGGTGAAGGTTGTCAGAGGGAAGTATTAGCATGTTAAGTCAGAAATTGAAAATATTCTAAGACTTAAGGACATGGTTTCTGGCGGAGCTTCAGGCCCTGTGGTGCGAGCTAACTTTTTTATTATGTGCTTTCATGTCAACTCTATGAATGACAGATTTGAACCCTGTGTCATGCTCTATCCTGGGCCATCCTCATCCATCTGCCACACTTGAGCCCAGTGTTACAGTCAATGTGTACAAACCACCTAGTGCCCTTCATATATTAGATCCTGCTGTTCTCCCTAGACTACTGGGAGTGGGGAGCCTCAGGTCAGTAGCAATAATAACGATATAATAAGGGCTTGGAATTGGTGTAACTTCTCCAGACATTAGAATCTAGTGTGTCCAGGAAAGAGCTTTGGGTCCCCAGGGAAAGACCGTGCCATGGGAGCAGTCTGTCTTCTCTTCACCTCCCATAGGCATCGCTCAGCATCCTCTTCCTCCTCAGAACCTTCTTGTTAAGTTCAGCTGCTTGGTTGGCAGGGCCGAAGGGAGGGGTAGGGATGGGGTCACGTAGCAGCCTGGAGGTCAGACTTTCTAGGGGAATCCTCTAATAATCTTAGGGCAGCTTAAGAGGCCTGGACTCCACCCACTACCCCTTGCAGCCTGTCCCCTCCACTGCCAATCATGTTCAGTTGCCTAGGAGATGATCAAGAGGCTGTTGAAGCAGAAGAAAAGTTAAGAAAAGGGTCATCGCCTAAGGAATCCCTCCACAGAAGCCCAGAGGAGACGCGGAATCCTGTTCCTTGACGTTTCTCAGGCCGCAATGGGGCAGCAGTTCAGCTGGGAGGAGGCGGGGGTGGCCGAGGAGATGGACGTGGCCGAGCTCCAGGAGTGGTACAAGAAGTTTGTGGTGGAGTGTCCCAGTGGCACCCTCTTCATGCATGAGTTTAAGCGCTTCTTCAGGGTTGCAGACAACGAGGAGGCCAACCAGTACGTCGAGGGCATGTTCCGAGCCTTCGACAAGAATGGGGTAAGGCACCCAGGGACCCGTGCCCTGCTTTGCCCTCTTGAGCAAAAGGGGCGTCTTCAGGGGGAGCTCCCAAATCTCTTTCCTCCAGCTGCTCCCCTTGCCCTTCTTTTCTCTCCATCTCCCTGCAATCTTTTCTCTTATTCTTCCCCTCAACTCTTCTCTCCTCATTACCCTGACCCTTCCCTTCTTTATTCACCTCTGCCTCACCTGCTCCCCTTAAACTATCATCTTTGGTCAGACTCTCTTTTCTCCTGAGACTTGAAGGTACTTTGGGTAGAGAGACAGGCAATCCACGTCTTCTATCTGTGTTTTCTGGTAGGACCCAGGTTTCCACGTCTACTGAAGCCTCTGGCACTGTAAACATGCAGAGTGAAGAGCCTAAATGAGACTAGCTGTCCTGAGATAGTGGGGAACCCCCCTGGTCAGTGAGGTCTTCTTCCCCATCAAGTCGCTGGAGGAGGCACCTTCACGGGCCAAGAGACCCGAGGGGTGATGCAAATATCCCTTCAAACACTTTTTGTCATTGAGGATTCCATGAGACCATTCAAGACCAGCAGCTAAGAAGGTAACAAATTTTTAAAACAGACACTTGGTAATTGAACTGAAACATCAACCTACCTTCAATATAAAGAGCTACCCTGTTTACAGCCCCTGCAGTCTTTTAAATCAGTAAGTCTACCTCAAATCTCTATGTTAAGCCCACAATTTTTGAGGGTGAGCTGGACTCAGACAGTAGACCTGGAGTACGTCTCAGTACTCCACTTCCCAGTGTGTGGAGGACTTGCACTGGGGTTTTGGATGACTGCACATCAGTTTGGAGATTGCCCACAGTTTGGTTGTGTCTAATGCTTCCCTATGATCAGGCCCAGCTGATATATTTCTGGGAGAAGTTCCTCTGAAGTGATGTGATATTGTTCTCCACATGACCGTAGGGGGTGTGTGAAGTCAATTGACCCTCTTCAGGTGAGGCTAACTGTAATGATTTGGTTAGGGCAGTGTTGGCCCAGGTTCTCCACTATGGAGTTACTGTTTTTCTCCTTCGTGATTAAGAAGAATCTTCCAGGGAGATACTTCCAGACCATGTAGATACCCTGTTACTCATCAGATTTTCATCTACTAGTCTTGGTCTCCCTCGATTTTCTGACCCCCTCATTCCTTCTTTATTGGCATTCTACTGTAAGAAAGAGCTTTCTTTGGAAGTACTTTTAAGATCCTCTGTCTCCTTTTCTCACTGTCTCTCTCCAATCCCACACCCACCTTTACTTTCCACTGTCAGTCAGTCAGTCCCAGCTGTTGAGTTAGAAACGACTGGTAGCAGATCCCCCAGGGGGTTTTCAGAGGCTGTGAATTATACAGAAGATGGCCCATCTTTCCCCTATAGAACAGCTGGTGGATTTGAACCACCTGAGCGGCGTGAATGTCCAGCTGGCACTGCAGCTCTCCCTGGACTATGCCAGCCTAGCTACCGACTCCTCAGCTTGGTACAGTCTGTATCAAGGAGTCCCATGCTGGGTGCTTAATCTGAGATTTCTAGGCTAAATGAAAATGAAAGGGTTCCTAGATCTAGCTCATGTTTTAAAATATATAGTGATAAAAACAAGACTTTGGTGGAGGCAAAGAGGTTGGAACACCTTGTCTCTGCTTCTACTTCCATTTTAACTCTCCTCCCCAACACACGCCCTGTGGTGAGTGGAATTGGAAGACAAGGAAGGCTACATCTGGGATTCTTACATAACTTGCACTGGGGTTAGGGCTGGTGTGCAAATGAAGTCAATTCAGGAATAAATGGGGCAGATGATCTCTCAGAGCAGCTCACACGGCACCGTGTCTGCTCCCGCTCTTGAGCAGACAGAGGCGTTTCCATCACTCCTTGGCCGCTCTGATAACTGAAGCTGACAGGAGCCTGGGCCCAGCGGAGGAGATTAGTTCCAGCTGGAAACGTCCCAGCAATGGCCCTGGGGTTTGAAGACTCTGACGAGTGAGAAGACCCATCAGTAAGGCCAGCTTGGAATGTGCCTCAGACACGGCAAGGAGTTGTAGAAACTGTAAGTTGTTGAGAGGGGGGTGAGGTCAGGATGGAAGGTTCTAGACGAAGGATGAAGGAGAAGCTTGAGATCTGGAGAGTAGAGATTTGTCCGTGGTTTTTCTGGTTGGCTACCCCCTTAATGCTGGATACCAGGCTTAACTTTTCAGATAGAAAAAGACCTTGAGTGAAAGAGGGAGGCTCTGAAAATGTGCTGAGCTGGGGAAGAGGTGTGACTTGAAGGCCCTGCCACTTACAGACTAGATTGCCTTGGACAATCTACTCAACCTCTGAGTCTCATTAGTAAAATGGGAGTATCAGATGGAAAGGAGATGATTTATGTAAAACAGCTGATCTTTTGCACACTTTATACCCAATTATAATTTTTAAAAGCAGCACACGATTGATTCATTATAACCTTACTAAATAGTAACTACAGATGGAAATAGCCCTTGAAAGAACATAATTAGACTCGACCCTAAAGAAATTACCAAGGGAACTCTGGTGGCATTGTCTATAGGGTGTGACGTTGCTAACCAGAACTTATCAGAGGTGTGAGAAAAGGGCACCTGCAGGAAGAGGTCCACTGTGTGACGTAAAATATTAAAGCCATAATCAGCTCCCCAAAAACTGTGATTTTAAATAATTTCTGAGGACATAGAAAGTACTAAATAAAAATCTAGTAAATAAAACCATAGAAATCATTGGAACTTAATTAGCTTTTTAAGGGAGGGAAACACAAAAAGGCTTTTACAAAACATGTTGAATAAAAACACCTTCAGTGTCAGGGTGAAGCAAACCTAATTTAATTTCTTCTTGATTTTTCTTTTTAATGTCAATATTTTTCTTTCCCTTTTCTTCTTTCATTCTGTTTTATTTCTTGATTGCTAGTTGTTTTGTGTTTTGGTCTCTTTTTTTTTTTGCTATTTTCCCTTGGAGTTCCCCACCACCACCATCATTTCTCCTGTTGCTCAAACCTTGCTCACCCAGGCCGACCTTGATCTGCAGTTGGGCTTCTTGAGAGGAGGAAAAATTGCTGTTGTTACCTTTCTGAGAGTGGAAGAGTTCAGAGGGAGTCACATGAAAGTAACACTTAGAAAACACCTACACGTGGGCTGTCCCCCTTTTCCTTCCTCTATCCGGTTACCCCCTAAACTCCTTTCCTCCTTCCATGTAATGTCCACCTATGGAAAAGTCTCGAGGCCGAGCTGGGACTAGAGCTGCTGACTGTCTGCCCTCGAGCCCAGGTGTGGAAGCCTTGGACTTGAATGAGAGGACAAAGGGAATTTTCAACGTGAACACTGCTTTCTCATCTCCTTTCAAAACTACTTTAGTGCCAGATTCAGATTGAGCCCATCACTTATTCATTGATTCATCAATATTTATGGGGCCCTGACTCAGGGCATGTGTGGCACTGAGCTAGGCAGGGAGGAGAAACAGAAGCAATGTGAGTCCCTCCCTGTCCTCTGGGAGTTTATAATAGGCATACTGACTTATGACGATGCCAAAGCAAGTACAGAAATCAGTAGCATGGAGAGCGGGCACTGTGAGTGCTAGGATGAGGGGGCAGAGAGAGGACTGTGGCTGAGGAGTCCGAGCAGGCAGGCTCCCTGGAGGAGGCTGACAGCCTTGAGGGATAAGTAGGATCAGGTGAGCATGTTGTGCTGTTCGGTGCTGACAACCCCATGTGACAGTATAACTGCCCAGGAGGGTCTTCTCGCCTGGAAGCTCTATGGAAAAGGACATCAGATCTTTCTCCTGCAAAAGCAGTGGGTGGGTTTGAACTGTCAACTCTTCCTTTAACAGTTAAGCATTTAAGGCCTGACTTGAGCAATTGTACAGATTGGAAAGAGGTTCCAAGGGTGGAGAACAACATGAGCAAAGAGACAGACGCCTCACGGATTACAAGGAAGAGAAAAAGCCCTGAGTTTTACGGACAAATGATCTTTTTTTTAAAATGAAATTTTATTAATTTTAATGAACATATACAGAGATTTTGGGTTTCCATTCATTCATTGTTGCACATTCATTTTCTCTACCCTCCCCCGCAGTTCCTTCCTCTTTTTTTTTCCTCCTTGAAAGTCTGTTTTAATTGTCCCATTGCCACAGTGCTTGTCAAAGCCAGTTCTGATTAATCTCCTTTGTCAGTGTGTCCTTTGTCATTCCCTATCTCTCCTCCCTGAGAGAGACTTCACCCTGATTCATAAGGAAAAGGGGACAGCATATTCTCTTAGCTACTTCCTGCTGGAAAGGGACACTGTAGGTTTCAGGGTGAAGATCTTCTCTCACTACTCTAAAGGGCCCCTTTGGCAGTAGGAAACACGTAGACTATTGTGGAGATTGATTTTGGAACAAATGATCTTGAATAGGGCTGCCGCCTGCCGTCTGTGGAGGCCTAAGGGGCCTTACTAGCTTCCCCTCTCATTGCAGGACAATACCATCGACTTCCTGGAGTATGTGGCAGCCCTAAACCTTGTGCTGAGGGGTACACTGGAGCACAAACTGAAGTGGACGTTTAAGATCTATGACAAGGACCGCAATGGCTGCATCGACCGTGTGGAGCTGCTAGACATTGTGGAGGTCAGTGTTTCTACCCAGAGCCCTGCACAGCTGAGCACTACTGGGCCTGTGCATTGGCTCCTGGAGGTGCCGGCTGAAGGAGAACTTTCCCTGGGACTAGGGCTGAGGATGAGGGATTGAAATCATTCAGAGTGTGTTTCCTGACCACAGTACAATGGAACTAAGTCAGTTACCAAAAGATAACAAGAAAAGTCCCCATCTGTTTACGTCAAAGTAATAATCTCTCTCTCTCTCTCTCTCACACACACACACACACACACTCTCTCTCTCTCTCTCTCTCTGAGTTCTCTAACTTTGTGAAATGGAGTGCAGGTTGTTGGAATCTTTCCACGTTTAAAACACTCAATTGAAGAGATTTGATCTTAGAGCCCTTGGGTTTCCATGCTCGTGTTCACAGAAGCCCACAGCTAGGAGCTTCTCAGGTGGAATGAGGCCCAAGGAGTTCTGGGAGAACAACCTTGGGGGCAGGTCCATTTTCATTTGGATCATGTGTTCCCCAAATGAGCAGCCTTGGGGGCCAGTGCTAGTGAAGGGGTGCTGAGGGAGGTGGGCTTGCGAGATCTCCTGCCATTATGTCTGGATCTTCTCCACCAGGCGATCTACAAGCTGAAGAAAGCCTGCCGGATGGAGGTGGCGGACAAGCAAGACCAGCTGCTCACGCCCGAGGAGGTCGTGGACAGGATCTTCCTCCTGGTGGATGAGAACGGCGACGGTAACAGGGGTGGAGACGACAGTGGGGAGGGCCACACTCTCTGAAGCACCCCTACTCTCTGACTGTGCAACCTTGGGGCAGGATCTTCCACTAACCTGCGACCACTGTCCTCATCTGTGAGATGGGAGTGGAGAGGGATGTATTAAATAACAAGTGACCTCACTAATAGGCGATGTTTGTAAGAGTGACTGAAACTCCTTCCGGAGTTGCTGATGGAGGTCATTTGAGTGTAATAAGAGCATTAGGATCTGGCAGGTGAGGATGATGCATTTAATTTCTTGCTTGGCCTCAGTTTTCTCCCCTGGAAAATGGGGATAATGACAGTGGTTGAAAATAATAAGTGAGATGATGCACTTGAGTGCCAGGGCTAGGATCTGGCTAGGATCTGTTTAGTTGGTTCTAACTCATGGTGATCCCATATATTTCGGAGGAGAACTCCATAAGAAAGGAGTGCTCCCCAGGGTTCCTTGACTGTAGGTAGCCTTTTTGAAGGAGATGAGCAGGCCTTGCTGTCTGGTGGGCTCGGATGGCCAACCTTTCTGTCACTAGAGTATACTTAACTGCTGGTACAATTCAGGGCCTTGGTCTGTTTCTCTCTTCTGCACAATGTTTGGCCTCACAACTGTGCAGGGAGAAAGCTGGCCTGGAATACTCTCCAGAAGAGCCTTTAAGACTGTGGAAGAGATCACTTATTTCAGGGTATCATGAGTGGAGTGGTGGGAATGAGTGTGTTTGAGACGGCGAGGTTGGCACAGGATAGAATGGCGTTTAGGGCTCTTGTACATAGGGTCGCTATGAGACTCGATGGCACATAACGACAACAATCATTGAAGCAAAGGTCAAGCCCCAGTGCTTCAGGAGAGCATCCTAGGAAATGCCTGGACAATCAGAATTGACAAGCCTGCAAAGATGTCAGTCTGGAGACTAAGGTGCGCCTGATAGATGCCAGGGTCTTTGCAATCACTTGTTATGTATGCATCAGAGAGCTGGACAATGACTAGGGAGGACAGAAGGAGAATTGATACCTTTCAGCTGTGGTGTTGGAGAAGAGTATTGAATATACCATAGACTGCTAGGAGAACAAACAGGTTCACCCTGGAGAGGGTGAAGCCGGGCTGCTCCTTGGAGGCAAGGATTCTGAAGTATGTCTGACATACCTTGGGCATGTTGCAAGGAGGGACTGGTCATTGGAGAGGGACATCATGCTTGAGAGGGTGGAGGGACAGCGCAGGAGAGGAAGACCCTCAATAAGATTGATTGATTCAATGATTGTGGTAATAACGGGGCAGGTGTGTTGGAGATGGTGTGATTGGCACAGGACAGCAGAGTTTAGGGCTGTTGTACATAGGGTCACTGTGAGTCGCAGGCGACTTGACAGCACATAACAACAACAACAACTTGCTTAATACCTGAAACCACAGACTGGTTTGTGTCAGAGAGGTATAAACACACCCAGAGAGCAGCCTTCTCCTGCCCGGCCTTCCTTCCTTCCTTCTCTCCAAATGATCGTTTCTGCTCTCTCGTGCTCAGGCCAGCTGTCTCTGGATGAATTCCTCAAAGGGGCCCGCCGTGACAAGTGGGTGATGAAGATGCTGCAGATGGACGTGAATCCCAGTGGCTGGATCTCCCAACAAAGGCGGAAAAGTGCTATGTTCTAAGGGGTCAGGCCTGGGAGCCCTCGAAGAGCCCACAGCCCCTTCAAGACTCTACGCTCACCGGGTTTTGCAAGTAGCAGAGGAGGCCCCTGGTTCAACCACACCATTCCCACTCTTTCCCTGCTTGGGCTTCACCCTGCTGGTCCTGGTATGGCCAACAGGACACCATCTGTATCAAAGGACTTCCTTGAGTGGTCAAGGGAACTGGTTACCATTTTCATGCAGCTGCTTCTGGGAGAACGGGTCCCCACACTTAATTAGATTGTTCTCAGCTAGAAAGATAGACCAAACTGAGCAGTGGGGCTCCCACAGACCAAATCAGCAACCCCACACTTACAGGATACAAAACAGACTGGTCAAAGGTAAGATTCTGGAGAAGAGGTACGAATAGGGGAAGAAAAGTTACATTCTCCCCAGGGCTGTCAACCAGGAACACTTGCAGCAGGTGTGGTTAACTGTGGGCTTCAGCTCTGTGGAGAGGTGGACTGTGCTCACAGGGTTGTTTTGGCTCTGCTTTGGTGCTGTCAATCTCGGCTGCCAGCCCCCTCAGACTCCCCTGCCCCAGGCCCCTCAGACTCCTCTAACCTGGTCCCCTCAGACTCCCCCTGTCCCGGCCCCCACAGACTCCCTTGCCCCAGAGTGGACTGTCCCAGATTCTTAGCCACAAACCATGTGTGTCTCCTTAAAGTGTGGAAGAAATCATTGCTCACTGTATGGGGGAGGGAGGAATTGTTTCCAGAGGGAGCTGGGGCCCTGCTGACGCTTCTGGGGCAGGTTTTGCCTCCAGCTGTGCTGTGACTTCACACAGGCCATTTGTCTTCCCTCACCTTGGTCATCGCATCTACAGTGAGCAGACTGGACTAGATGGACTGATGGCAAGATTATTCACTTTTAGACATGGAGTTCTAGTTGGGATGTCGTCTCTTATGTGCAACCCCAGTACAGAAACTAGATCAAAAGGAAGCCGTCCTGTGTGAAGATGGAGAGTGGTGATGGATGGTGCCATGGGGTAATTTATGTCGCTGAATTGTACGTGTGGAAGGTGTCATGAATTGTGCCTGTGGAAAAGGACGGCAAATGTCTTCATAGATAAATGTAATTTATGGCAGTAAATAATAATATCTTTTTAATGGTGTCAGCCTGTTTGCAGATGAGTAGAAACCCAAATTCCTGTTCTCTCCTAGAGCCAAGGAACCTCTGACCAGGACTCTGGGTCAATGTCACCCCATCCCCCAACCTTAGAGATGATTGAAGGTGCATCCTGGGAAAATGTTTGCTTTAACTCAAATAAATACATTTTTATGTTGATATATGAACTCAAGAGCAACGGTGTCTCTCTGGAGACTAAAGTGCGCCTGATACAGGCCATGGTCTTTGCAATCACTTGTTATGCATCAGAGAGTTGGACAATGACTAGGAAGGATAGAAGGAGAATTGATGCCTTTGAGCTGTGGTACTGGAGAAGAAAATGGAACATGGACTGCCAAGAAAACAAACAGATTCATCCTGGAGAGGATTAAACCAAGCTACTCCTTGGAGGCAAGGATTCTGGGGCTTCATCTGACATACTTTGGGCATGTTGCAAGGAGAGACAGGTCCTTGGAGAGGGACATCATACTTGGGAGGGTGGAGGGACGGCGCAAGAGGGGAAGACCTTCTATGAGGCGGATTGATTCAGTGACTGGGGTAATCGGGATGGGTGTGTCGGAGACAGTGCGATTGGCGCAGGATAGAGCAGGGTTTAGGGCTGTTGTACACAGGGTCGCTATGAGTCGCAAACGACTCGACGGCACATAACAACAACAATATGAAAAAATAAAACGAACTTTTCAGCCTGCAGTTTCACAGGCCTGCTAGTCATGCAGTTTTCTTTAGATGTGAATTTTAGGTAAAATAACCCTGATTGATTTATAAGTATTAACATGGCTGTTGTTGTTGTGAAGTGCCATCGAGTTGTAGGCGACTCATAGCAACCCTATGAACGGAAGTCCTCGACACTTGCGTGTGCGACTTTTTATCCTCTCTCCAGGTTCACAGGGTTTCCGGAGGCAAGCTGTGTATGCAAGTGGATGCCACTCCTGCTTCCAAGCTTGTTTTATACGGGGAGCAAACACTGTCCACCATGGGTAACCGTTATCGCATTTGACACATCAGTGTCACAGTGTTCAGCATCACAGTGACCACAAATTACCTCTCTATGGCAAGTGGACACACCAGGGCTATATGACCTAGAAGACTGTTTGAACAAAAACAATGAAAAATAGGCCTTAGGGCCACAGATTAGAGTTACCCACCTTTGGCTTGGTAGCATTGCTTTCAGTCCACTAGGCCAACTAGTCTCTCTCTGTGTTGTTAAGTGCCGTCGAGTCGTAGGCAACTCATAGCGACCCTATGAACGAAAGTCCTCGACACTTGCATGTGTGACTTTTCATCCTTCCTCCAGGTTCATAGGGTTTCCGGAGGCAAGCTATTTATGGAAGTGGATGCCACTCCTGCTTCCAATTAACATGGTATACATAATTAATATCACTTATGTGTTCATGCAGAGATTGTTGAACTGGCACGTGTTCTGTGATATCTGCGTTTTATCACTTCATCTTGCACACTCTGGACATGTTGACCAGCACAGTGGCTGCAGCACTGGCCTCAAGCTCAGCAGACTGGAGAGATGGCCCAAAGTTGGGCAGCATTGTTTTCCATGACTGCTGAGTATTGAACCAAAGCCAACTCACTCACTCACTCACTGACCCAGAGTTGGGACCAACTCCATTGGGTTTCGTAGCCATAATAGGAGGCACGTGCCCGTCTTTCTCCCATGAGCCTCTGGTGAATTCAGACGACCAGAGAGAGCAGTGGCCTTTGAGCAGGCAGTGAAGTTCTCTACCTAGTTTGCCACCAGAGCTCCTCATTACAATAAACCACATTCCAAAGAATCTAAGTGGTACACAGATAAACCCCAGTAATGACTGAAGTTGGGAAGTGTGCTCATGAAATATACATATTTTCCCAACTTTGACCTTTGGGATTTCCCAAAACGTAGTCAGCAAGAAGGAAGGCTAAATTATGTCACCTCCATTTATTTTCAGCGACCTCCACCTTCCCTCCATGTCTGTGGTAAAGCTTTGACAGACTTTCCCATCCAGGGTGGCCCAAGTGATCGGTTGGATGAGAGTTAGCAAAACAAGCTTTCAGCCTCAGACTCATAGTCTCAGGAGACATCAAAGTCAATTGATATAATGTAGTCTGCAAGGCCAATGGTTGGTTGGTTTGTTTTTAATCCCCTGACCAAGGCCAGTGTTTTACACTCTACATTGGTAATGACTGGGGACTTAAAACCTTCCGAGTAGAATCTAAGGTGCAATCATTTCTCTCTCTCTCTCTCTCTCTCTCTCTCTCTCTCTGGAGCAAAGAGTGAAGAAAAGGAAAGATACATGGAAATAATTAGAGCACAGCACTAATAGACCTCGAGCACCTCAACTTCCATAACCCCGAGACCAGAACTAGATGGTACCCACTTACCAACACACACAAAACTCAAAATTGCAATAATGGCCAGGCTTAGTGGCCCGACAGAGATTGGAGGAAACCCTCAAGGCTGTGGCCCTTAGCCACTCTTGGAGCCTGAAAACTGAACTTACCTTGTAACCAAATAATACACAGATCTAAAAGGTTAATGGCAAAACCAGGGACACACTCAACACTAGAACACTCAACTGCCCAGGATCAAAAAGGACAAAACTCAGAAGGGAGAAAGGGACAGGATTCAAGGATCATGGAAAGAAGAGTCACAGAGATAATAAGAGTGATGACACAATACGGGGATTGTTATGTGCTGTTGAGCTGCCTATGACTAACAGTGACCCTCTGTACAGCAGCCCTGTCCTGAGCCAGTCTCACATTCCAACACACCAACCCCCATTGCCCAAGTTACTTTATCAATCCATCTCCTCCAGGGCCTTCTTCTCTTGTGTTGCCCCTCCACCCTTCCGAGCATGATGTCCTTCTCCACGGATTGGTCCCTCCTGACCACGTGCCCATAGTATGTGAGACAGCTTCAAAATCCTAGACTCCAAGGAGAAACTTGGTTCCACCCTCTTCAAGACAGACCTATTTGTTTTTTTGGCAGTCCAGGTATGCTCAAGACTCTTCTTCAGCACTACAACTAGAAGGTATAGCTTCTTCTTCTTCTGTCATCCTTAGTCATTGTCCAGCTCTCTGATGCATACCAAGTAATTGTGAAGACCATGGCCTGGACCAGACACATCTTAGTCTCTAGATTGACATTGTTCTCAGAACTCTGGAGAGGTCTCTGACAGCAGATTTTCCTCTAATATAATTAATCTTTTGATATCTTAACTGCTAGTGCCAAGAGTGTTGATTGTGGAGCTGAACAAGTTATAATTGCTAACAACCTCACTCTCTGCTCTATCTATCATGGTGCTGTTATTTGGCCCAGTGGTGACAATCTTTGTCTTCCTGATGTTAAGCTTCAATCCATGTTGAAGACTATATTCCTTGACCTTCTGTAGCAAGCGCCTCATGTCCTTCTCAGTTTCAACAACCAGGGTTGTATTATCTGCCTAACGTAGGTTGTTGATGAGTCTTCCTCCAATCTTGAAGCCACATTGCTCCTCATAAAGCCCAGCCTCCTGAAGGTTCTGTTCTGCATATAGATTTAAAGGGTATGGAGACAGGATGCATCCCCGACACACTCCTTTCCTGATTTTGAACCATGCAGTATTTCCTTGCTCTGTTTTGAGGCCTGCTTCCTGATCCAAGTATCGGGTTTGCATAAGCACAATCAAGTGTCTGGGATTCCCATTCTCCTCAAGGTTGGCCACAATTTGTTGTGATCCACACAGTCAAATGCTTTGCACAGTCAACGAAACACAGACACCCCTCTAGTGTCATAAAACAAAATATGTGTGAATGATTGAGTGGAATACATATGTGCTCTGTAAATTTTCACTCATAATAATGAAAAGTCAAAACAAACAAGCACA